GGCACATCACCTCACTTCACACTGGCTTGTCACCACTTGATCGCGTTACACTTTGGCTCAGGTTTCTGACTTCAGAAGGTATTCCATAACATGTCGTGATATGTAATCCATCGTAATAGACTTGACTCTCTGAATCTTGTCTTGTTTCATCGTATTGAATCCATATCGTAATGTCTTCATATAATCGTGGATATACTTGGTTCTTGACACTTTGGCGTCTGGACTCAGGGATTTCTTTCGGGATTCAGGGAATTAGTCACGGAACTCTGGGATATTCGGTCGGACTCTGGGATATAATGTTCTCCACTGCTTGTAGAACATGTCACTACTCCATCTGTTGTCCACATCTTCTTGGATCGTGAGTCTTATGTGCAAGTAGTCCTTATTGGTAACATTCCTGAGCTTGGGACTGACGTTTTCTGGGTTGAACTAAGGCAGTACGGGGTGTTTGGTGCAATACGTTCGCATCAACACTTTTCACAATCATAAGTACCCGTAGTCAGGACGAGGGCGAGTCTGGACTGAGCATCATAGTGCTTCCAGACTCTACGGCCCAGGCTTAACTCTTCTCCAGGTCAATCACTTCTCACGCGTTCCACAGTCACTTTTCTTTCCACACATTCGCACTGGGCGATCCTGTATCCATGACCTAATTCCCAGTTCCACACAAATTCCTGTTTCCATGAGAAATTCCAAATCACTTCGTGTGCTATGGCAACGAGAAGTCGGCCATGGTGAGCTTCGTCATCTATGAGCGCAAATATTGGGTCTCTCCCGAGGATGTCAAGCGTTTCTTTTTCCGCATGACTGCTCGGCTCGGGAATATCAAGGATCCCAAGAGCCTCGTCGGTTCAAGTTGACGCTCGAGAACTTGACGAAATTGTGGTTCAAGTACAACAAGGAGCACGCGGACCGAGCCGAAAACTTGCGGACGTATCTTCCTGGCCGCATGTGGCCTTGGTGTATAGGTCCGGACGCTTCGCTTCCAATTGAGACCATGCTGAACTCGACCCTCCCGTTCTACACTATGGAGAATCTCATGTGGGTTCCTGGGTCAGCAGATTGGTGTGCAGAGGCTGCGATAGTGGACGAGTCGGAGCCATGTGTTGACTTTCCCGGAGCAGCACCCGTACAACACGGTGTACGTTTCGTGCAACGCTCACGTGCCGCTTTTCCTTCCCGCCGACTCGACTATCGAAGTTCTCGGTCCAAGCATCGTCCCTGACTCGTCTTTGGCTCCGGAGGATATTGACTCCTCGTGGGATTGCGCTTTTCGTGGAGGTGACGAGGATGAGGAGATGGAGGACGGCGAAATTGAAGAGGACGACGCTGACTCCGTTGCCACCGACACTTCGGCCGGTCCTCGGGATGAGGCAGCTGATGCTGCTTTTATCCTGCTCTTTGCGGAGTCATCTCCGCCGCCGGAGTCTGGTGTTGTCGTCAAGATCTGAGTTATCTGTTTGTCATTTCACAGTTTAGTAGAGTAGTTAATCGTTCAATTCTTTCTTCATCACTTCCATTTCCATCGCGTTTCGAGAAATTCATTCCATATCCAATTCATACATTCATGTAGCAGCCGTAGTAGTTTTCGTCTGGTATTGTGAGCTGCTTTGCCTCACACCCAGGTCGTTCTTCATGATATTCTCGACTTTCAGTCCTCGCCAGCGACTTAGGCTATCTGTAAACATTGCTCGCTCTTCTTGTTCCGCAAGTAGTCATACAGAAGTCAACCACACGACAGGTTAGAGGCTGGTTCCCATGTAGTTGACTCATAGCCAACCCACTTCACCTCAAATTCGCGCACAGGTCTATCCGTGCTGGCTCAAAATCGCTTCCACCTCAAATTCACAGGCAACTTCATCTGGCTCCCAGCTATCTTCCGGTAACGGCTCTTCGTCGAAGTCAAATCTCGCATTCTCAGCAAAATCGTGGGCTAGTCGCGCCTTCGGCCGACCTCAAACCTCATTCACAACCTTCACTCGAGAGACGTGCACCACAGGGTAGTACCGATACCCGCTTTTATCTGGTAACTCGAGCTTGTACGCGAACTCTTCGACCTTCCGCTTCACTTTCAAGGAACCATGCCATCGGTGAGCCAGCTTCTTAACTAGTCCTGGCTTCACTCGCTCCATATACACCCAAACTTGGCTTCCCGGTCGAAATAGAGACTTCGGTTCCGAGTCCTCGTCGGGCGAGTCATCGTTCACACTTTTTGGTACTGCGGCTTGCTCTTTGCGACTGAGCTTCTCGTTGTGAATTCTTGCACGTCGGGCCTTCTTTACAGCTTGGTATTTCTTTGCCATCTCAATAGCAATCTGCTGCTGGCGGGTAATCTCTCGCCGCCAAGCTAGTGCCTCAGCCTGTTCACCAACACCTCGCTTCAGAGAGGTCGTCATTGATCGTAGCGTCGTATGGACATCATCCCATCCATGCACCAAATAAAATGGTGTCTTTTCCTGGTCATATCATGAGAGTTGCTGATTTTCGTTCAGCGACCTCATCCCAGTCTTGCTGCAACGGGACTTCCACATAGACCTTGACAGACTGCATTACGGTCTTGACCGACTGCTCTTGCTGTCCATTCGCTTGTGGTCGATAGCTCAGCGTCGACCTTGACCGCGCTTGTATTTGCTCAGCGAAGGCTTGGAAGACCTCGCTCATGAAGCGCGGGTCACGGTCGTGACGAAAAAGAGACGGAGCACCAGATGCATTCCTCGACCACCTTGGCCACAGCCAGTGCATCTGTGTCCGATATCGCTTTAGCGATCACGAACCCGGTAACCGAACAGTTCCATAACAACAGAGCGGTGTTCCCCCGCGAGAGCTCGGCAGAAGGATCCCAAAGTCCACTGACACCAGCTGGAATGGTCGCTCTGTCCGCACATTGCCAGGTGAGTAGCCTTTAAGCTGCGGGAAGCTCTTACTCGAGCTGCAGGCGAGGCATGATTTCACATGTCTCTCCACATCTGCGTAGAGACCGATCCAGTAGTAGTTGTGTTTTACTCTCTGGTAAGAGTGGACGACACCTTGGTGTCCTCCTTCGATGGAATCGTGACAATTCTGTAGCACCTCTTGGCGCATTGTGGTTGGCACCACAAGTCTCAACGACATCTCGGGCAAGTTTTCATCGACCATTCTTATGCTCGCACCCGTGTAATACAGGGCATTGTCACAAAGTTGTCCGCCCATTTCCAGGCTTCTCGATCCTCTTTGTAAGTCATCGCGGTGGTTTCGCCTCTCAGGATAGCTTTCAGCTTCGACCACCTCCACTCCTCATCCTGGGCCTGGGCGATACGACGCCTACGCTCTTCTTGGACTATAACCGGGTCAATGTCATCGGCTTTTGAATCGTATCGAGCCTCAGCACTTGGTCGTTGTGCCGGCATTGCTGAGTCCTCGGTGGCTGCCTCAGTTGCCTCAGCAGTAGTCATTCCTCCAGAAACTTCATCCCCAATGTGCAGTCGTTTTTCTTGGCCTTGGTCTGGCTTTGAGTTGTAGCTGAAACCTCAGCGCGTTCTTGGTGCGCAAAGTCATCACTGGTCTTGTGTTGTAGCAGGATATCGCTGTCCATAGCATGAATACGATGTGTCGTTCCGTCCAAAACTTGAACGAAATTCCCGGAACTCGTCTTTTCGACCTTGATGTCGTCTGAAGACGGCTCATAGATCATTTCTTGGATTCTATTCAACTCCTTGAGCTCGGTCTTACGGTGGTCGTTGAGCACCACCTTCGACACCTTCCACCCCAATGCTTCACCAGCGAGCGAGTCAGCCGCTGTGTCGTACTCGCGCACCACATGCAGATATCGGACTGACTTAAGCTTCCCAACGAGCTCTGGGTGGCTGTCATCAGCGAATCCTTCCGACATGCAATCACCCCTAGTGATTGCTGGAATACCAAACTCGACTCCCCAACGATGACTAAGTCCTCAGCACCATGTTCCAGGGCTGCGATCACCCCATGGTTCATGCCACTGTACTCAGCCATATTCATAGCCTGCGAAGTCTTGGATAAAGCGACTGTAGTAGTTGAGTGAACCGAGGAACTGTTGCACCCCTTTCTTCGACTTGGGGAACGACAACTTGGTAGTTGCTGTTATTTTCTTCGGATCAGCCCGAATTCCTTCTGGCGACCCTCGTGAGAGAGGAAGTCGACCTTGGACTGACAAAAGATGCTTTTGGTAAAGCTGACACTAATCCTCCATTCCTCAAACCGCGCCAGCAACTTGTCTAACGTGTCCATGCAGTCGTCAAAAGTAGTGCCACCGAAGCAAATGTCGACGACAAAGGACCGACTTTGGGACACTGGGACTAGCAACGATTCGTCTGGTTCATTAGTCGCAAACATGTCTGCGTATGGATCGTTCACCATCAGTAACATCGGATCCAGCTCCAACGGCGCCTGTCGATCCGCATCGGACTTGGTCCGAGTCATCGTTGGGTAATCGTTGACGTTTAGCTGCTTCTTCGGCGAGTTTCATTCGTTCAGCATATCACTCCCATCCACCTGTAGGCTGTACAAACCCCCTAGCGCATTATCGATCATTCTTTGGTAGAACATGGAGCATTCTTCAATCCGAATGGCATTCGGAGCCACTCAAAGTGCCCCAAAGCGCAATCGAACGCTGAGGTCTTGCGTGCACGCATTGTCATCATGATCGTCCAACATTCACTAGCGGCGTCCAACAAACAGAACCACTGGTAATTCTCCAGCTCGGTCAACAGGTCGTCGACCAAAGACATGACGTATTCCAGGATTACAGTGACCGCATTGACCATCTTGTAATCAATGCATAGTCGAATATCTTGACCGTCCTTTTCAGCACAATAAAGATGGGCGACGCCCATGGACTGTCCGAAAACGCAATGAGGCCGGCATTCAGCAGTCCTTTGAGTAGCTCGTAGAGCTTCTGTAAGTGCCTCAGCAGAATTCACCTCGCTCGTTGATTAATTGATGCGTGCTCTTGGACATCGATGGCACATACCACCCCATGCGCTGGAGGTGGCAATGCATTAACGCTTGAAATCATGATTGCTTCATGCTTTTTCTGTACAGTGCCGAGTCGTCGCTGCTGATCGCCGACGAAACTTGGGTTCTTCACATTCGAAGCGGTATAATCGAGTTCTGTAACAGAGGGCTCTGTCAGGCCAGGCAAGAATGCTAGTTCTTGAGGATAGTCCTCCAGCGAGATGAAATTTGCCTCATGTACAGCGTGGTCGTCGTCAGCTGGATCGTCGTTGCCCTCTGTGGACAGTACGTGCATAACACATGCTCCAGATCGGCGACCGCCGTGTCAGGTGATTTCTCGTCGCTGTGGGTTTCAGTCAGTGGGGTATTGCCACCACGATCGATGCCAAAATACTCAGTTGGAGCGGGAGGTGAAGCTACAAATGCGGCTGCAGCACTAACCGGATCATCGCCCGTTGGCGAGCCGTCGGTCGCACTGTCGACGCTCCGAGTCACAGGCTCCATACTACACTGATTGTCCTGTGATAGTGAGTCGTCATAATCGTTTGAGTACTCGTCGGGTTTCTGCAATTTGCAGGTTGGCCATGTGTAGAGCTGTCGTTCGACTACAGGCGGCTATGATGCCAACCATTGTTCATACAGCCCACACTCCAGCAGAACCATGTTTCGTCGTGTGAACCAGCCCTACCACTGTTCGTACTTCCGAGAGTCAATCGACACGTAACCAGCTTGTTTTGGCATAACGACTCGGGACACCCAGGCTATCACATTTAGATGTGCCGGGCAGTAAGTACACCACCCTTTCCGTGATATTCGTCAATCGTATTTAAGTTGGCTTCCCTTTCCGGAACCGAATCATCGTCGGGATCAGCGCAGCAGTGCGCCGCATCCAGACGTCGTGCGTTTCTAATGATGGGTTCCTTTTTTGCATCCGAAACTCACTCCACTCCCCTGCTGGTATTGGTAGGTTCTTCGTTAGTCCGCCGGCGACAAGCATCCTTTCAGCTGAGTCGTCGTCGGCGCTTAGCGATTTCACCAGTGGCACCATTTCTTCTCCTGGAAGCTTGGCCGTCGCGTTTAACAGATCCAAGCGTATTCCGGCTGGTATCATAAAGTCCGTACCGAACACCACTTCTGATACAGCACCACCCAGAACTCGAACTCATAGACTGTGTTCGAACCCAGAGTAACCTTGGCTTTCACTCGAGTGGTCGTTGACATCTTTCCTTCTTGAATTTCTTGTACCTCGAGTTGTCGACCGTGTTCCTGGATAGGTTCCAGTCGTAGTCGTCGCGCCAACTTCGTTGTGATTATGCTCACGTTCGCGCCAGTGTCCAAGAGGATCGAAGTTCTCACATTGTTTACTGCACCACGCACGAGAGCTCGCATTCTCACTCGTCGGTTGAACCTCTGTGACGACCGCCATACGCTCCCCAGGGAGTAACTTCACCCTCTTGGCGTGCATCGGTGCAGCTTCACCCGCTTCATATATGCTCACCAGCAAGTCATCTTTTTGTAGTAGTATCTTCATTAATCCCATGCAATTTGCCTCCGTCGAGACATACGCCACATTCTCAATTGAACGCTGCATTTTTCTCGTTTTCATTGTCGTTGTTGTCTTCAGGCCATTCACACTTCCCAGTGAACGCATACAAACATTCCGCGTCAATCACCAGGTCGGCTGACTGTGGCTGCCCGGTAGGGACCAACCCAACCTCGGTTGGCGGGCAACCTAGTTTAAATCAGGGGTCGATCGGAAAAAATAATATAAATACAATAATTATGGTATTTTTCAATACAAATAATTTATTATTGAAGTTTTCAAGAAAAATACAATACAAAATATACCCAATTATTGCAATAAATAATAACTCCAGAAGAAATTCTTAAATTGTACCGTAATTTAACCAAACCGAGTGTCCTTCTATGATGGATGGTCACAGGATCCATGTATCTTTATCGTTCTGGCACCCACTGACTCCTCACTTTATGGTTCGACGGATGATAAACAGAAATCTTGCAGCTTTCTTCGTCGAGAACCTGGGGGACGGCCAGTTTAGCTGGTTACGACACGGAAACCGTCGTACTTATTGAAAAAATAATATGCATTATTGCCATTATTTATTATTGATGACTGTTGCATTGTAATTATTATTATGGAAGTCCACCGAAGACAAGCTTCTGTCGTATCGGAATACGTCCAAAATATAGGTACACCTCCCTCC